CTCTCCGCCGTGATGTTGCTGCGCAGATGATTTGAATTTCAATCGGGGTAATGCTCCCGATATCGGTTTATAAATCGGGGCAGCGGAGTATACAGATTCTGCAGAGTTGCCCAATTTGGAGCTCGCAATATCGTCTTGCGAACTATTTCGGTAACCTAATTCTTCATGTACCTTAGCATGTATATCGGTCATCTAATACCGAGGGATAATATGTTGCCTATGATCCATTTGTTGACAAACGGTGCTCTTCTGAACAAATTTAAAAACATTGCATCAAGTAAGTCTTTGTTAACCGAGATATGATCTCCGGATAATGAGCAAGAGGTCTTTGGTCAAATTTATAAAAAGCTCATCGACAAAAGAATTAGCATGCCAAGAGTAAGTACGTCTATTTCATTTAATTTTACTTGAAAATGCTCAAGTGAACTACATGGAAAGCTCCTCTCCATCAGTCAGCCGGCAGTTGACGCAATTGGGGAGAGGGGCTTGGAGATTAAGCTTAGCTTTAATGAAGGGGTTTCTTAGTAGATGCATCCGATTGTTAGATAATAAATCGAAGTGAGTTTCTTTTAGAGTTATGTTACCAAGTGTTTTGGAAGGCACTCGTTAATCATATTTAATGAAGAAATATTTTCATTTCCAATGCATTGATTGCACATAACATGAGAAATATGTATTGGAAATGACAATAATTTTTTATTTAGGTGCTGCTTCACCAAAAGGATAAATTACCGTTCAAAATTCAAATCAAATGATCTCGTCAGATCGACAAAGGTTTGAAAGGTCCCTTGTTGATGTTTTGAAGGGAAATATAAATTGCGACAAATTTGAAGGTATGAACATTGAAAATAATCATTGTTAGTGATGTAAATGGTCATTGAAATGTCGAATACAATGAAAATAATGATGAACAACATATGTTCTTGGATAGATTAACAGTCCTCTGTAGAGATTGCAATCCTAGTACTTATACCTACAATAGATAGTTACATAAACGGTTAACATAAACACAACGTGCGTTACATTGGTTCATAATTCACAATCCTTTTCTATAAATGGTTACGTTTGAGATTGTCGCTCCACTACTTGAAAGTCACATTGTCTCCACTTCATCGACAGTGTACATCATGCACATCTCCCTAATTGACTGAGCTGGTATTCATTTGTCAACTCTTTGCTCCAATACTTAGCCATTTTCACCAATATCTCCATAAATTAAAACCGGGTTTTCGTGTTGACTAACAATTCCCGGCACCCTAGCGATTTTCAGCCTCTAGCGCTCCCGAAATTGGCTTCTGTCAATCAGGTTGTCGACATGACACTTGGATATTTTTTAGTATCGACGGGTACTTAACAAGTTCTCTTAGGGTACTCGAAAATGAAATCCTATTTCTAATGAGAAAATGTGGGACAACTTACCCATCTCTCTCCGACAAGAGAAAATCATGTATTCACATTCCCATCGTTCTACGAAATGGTAACTATTGGCATCCATTCGTCGGACCAAGGTCTTAAAGGTGAACGGAAGGAGGTGTTTCCTCTGTCAAAAAAGATAACGACAATAAATAGACTGTTTGGCTTCAATAAATAGCAAGTCCCTCAGCAGTACAGGAGTACATTTAATATTTAATATTTAATTTTTCGAGTCAGATACTTGCTTTTTACAGCTCGTGTCACATGGCTTCTATATGCACTTCTTGGTTTATATTTGCTTTCAAAATTTTTTACTTTTCACAATATTTAGTTAGCACAAAACCTCTAAAAATATTTTAAAACATATAAAATGATTGATATGTGCGATCTTATATAATGTTCTTTTTATTTGTTTGAAATTAAATATATCAATTAACTTTAAATTGTCATAATAAGTAAATTTTCTTCCCAATTAAACAAACACACTGATGTGTACACAAAATGTTGCTTTGTGGCAAGACTTTTGGGTCAAGGCAGTGAATATAGTGTGTTGTTCTGTTGACATACCTTTGTCTAAGTGTTACTGTCTACAGGAGTTTTGGACAAGCAAACCTCCTGATTGCTCAAGCTGGTCAGTGTTTGCATGTCCTATGTATGCTCATGCGAAGGCTGTAAACTGAGTTGAGGGCGAATAATTGCACACTCCTAGAATTTGCGTTAGGGTTGAAAGGTTATCAACAGTCGATCTTAAGATTTTTAATCATCTGGATTCTGAGTTGGCAAGCATCTCATACTCGATGAGTTGGCGATGCCACTAGGTAGCAAGGATACTCAAGTAATTAAATAGATTGGGGCATCGAGAAACAAGTTGACTTTTCTATATGGATGCTAGTTTAGATGAGAGTATTAGGAAAACTAGAATGAGGATGATACGGGTCGTAAGGTTGAGCAATGGACGCTATACATCATAACCACATGCATACAGAGCAAATCGATTTAGTGAACTACAATGATCATTCTCTACTTTGTTGCTTTTGTCTAGTTATTTGCTACGCTATGAAATTAAGACCAAGGACCCGCTTACCTTTCGAGAGGCGGCGTTAGGATCAAGGCTCACGCAATATAAGGTATCGACTGTGATGGGAAGAATTGCATGACACGACCTCAATCAAATTCTAAACATTAGCAAGTCCCAAGTTGTTACTAAAAAGTACAGTCAAATCCTAAAACTATATTTATAGTACAGGATAATTTGTCAGTTATGCCTTTTATAAGTGTCGCATAGACAATTGCGGGTGTTTATCTACAAAAACAAGTTGATAAACTTCTTGAAAAAGATTTAGGACCTAATCGCATCAGTCGAAAGACTTGAGTATAACTTTTCCTAACTATATTGGGATCTTCTATTCTACGGTGAAACATAGCTTGATAAAAGTGCTTCTGGGTTTGAGAACTGGGATGGAGATAACTTTTCCGCACTAGGAGTTGGAGGAGCGTATCTATGTGAAGCAACTAGAGGGATTTGTCGTTTCAAGTAAGTGAGGCTGAGTAATTCTTGCGTAGGAAAATTTATATAAAAGCACTAAAATATCTTCTGGTTGTTACTATAAAAGGTCTGGTGTAATGACCAGTCAACGTTGTCCTAAGGTTGGAAATAGTGCCAGTGTCTATTTATATTATTGCGTGTTCATGGCATGTTGGTTGTAGCAAAAGGTGTATTAGAAATTTATAAGCTGAAATGAAAATTTATGATGAAAGATTTGGGACAACAAAAAAGATAACTCGGTATAGAGATTCGGAGGGATATGTTTACAGTGTTATCATAAGGTGAGTACACGTTCCAAAAGTTTTGATGCTTTAGCAATTTGGTCTAAGGGAAGATATCCTACCATGAATTACATTATCAATGGATATATCGATGAATCACATTTCTTCAATCAAGTTCAGACGCTACTTGGAGCTTACTAGAATTTTGAAATTGATGAACTTAAAGTCGAATTTGAGCCAAGGTGGAGATTCATATTTGTGTTTGAAGTAAACCTGACTTATTTTTGAATTCACTCGGAGACTAAGATCGAAATTCATTTGAACCTAGACCCTCCATGCCCAAGCCAATTATGTACTTTTTGTTTTGCTAAAATCCAATTATGTACTTGATCCTTGTTGTGGATTGACATTGTGTTTCCTATTGCCTCGGTGACTCTGCTCCGCAAAAATAATGCATTATGAAATGTTAGATATATATAAAAATCAGGTCACGATAAAATAATGCATTATGAATTGTTAGATATATATAAAAATCAACTCACGATAAATTTGAATCATCTTACGCAATTGATATATCAATACACGCCATCAGTTGAAATATTTAGATTTTTCGAATCGAGGAAGAGAGTTTCATGGTTGGTAAAGCACAATCACTTTATCAAATGATGGTTAATATTTTTTTCTCCCAATTATTTTGCATCACTAATGGTACTGCCACAATAGAAAAAACCTATAAACATGCTTATGCAAGCAACAAAACCTATTTTATATATATATAGAGACACACACACAGACTAGCTATTACCTGTAACTTAATTTCTAGCTAATCAACCTGTGGCAAAACCCTAACTCGCCCTTCCAAAGTTTTTAAAAATCCACCTATTGGAATATTTCATTTCTTTAATGTGTGTGTGTGTGTGTGTGTCTATATATATATATATTTTCTTACCTTCCGAATTAGGCGCTGCGTGGAGGAGCTCCTTTTCCTCGTGGACGAATCAACATGAATAGACACGAGACAGGCCATGGACATTACAATTCGGTACCCGATTCTCAACTAGTCTTGTCCGCTGCACACCCCACACACTCCCACTTTTTTAATTACTTTTTAATCCAACTCCCATTATTCTTTAATAATTTCATCCTAATCACTACCTTTTTCCCACCCTTCATTTTCCAACCCATCGGAACTTTTTTTTTTTTTTTCACATTTCTATATTATGCATATTAAGTGAGATAATATTAGTTTATTTTAGTATTGGATATCATCAATTTGTTTATCTTTAGTTATATAGTACCTCAAAAATTGTTTGTTTCGTTGGAAAATGAATAATTTAAAAGAAATTTTCTTAAAAATAATTGTTTAGATCACTCACAAAAATGAATGAATGAAATATTTTTTTTCATTGTTCATGATAATGTTCAGACATAAATTATCGTTGATAATGAAAACGTTTTTCATTGACTAATTATTTTAAACAACATATGTATCATTTTGAGGAAAATATTTTTTAAATAATTTATTTTCAGAGAAACAAACGGAATCCATAATTCTCTTTCTTTTTTGGTAACTTTAGTGCGAAATTTCGAAACATATAACCGAAAATTTTGACGTGTACACGTGTTAATGATATCGTATGAAAATTGCCACAAAAAATTGAACTTGAATTACCACAGATGCACGGCAGACTGGTCCCTCCCCCAAAAAACTATAGCCGAACCTCAATTTACCCAAAACATTCAATTACAATCCATTGCTGCGCATTGTTTTACAGATGGACTTTCACGTTACTTTTTGTCTTTTGAATCATCAACTCTCCTCGTCCTCCTCTCTCTCTCTCTCTCTCTCTCTCTTCGCAGCTTCCCTTATATGTACGCAACTCTTGCGCCTCCAGTCTCTCCTTTCCAGCTCCACCTTTTACACCAAAGTTGCAACCACCCTCCTCTTCCTTTCCGGTGCAGAAATTGATACGCCGTCCACGCACAGCTTTCCAGCTATCCCTCCTCTCCTCCTCCTCCTCCATATCAACTCCTCCCTTTCTTGCAAAGTTCTGTCTCTGTCTCTCTGTCTCTGTCTGTCTCTGCATAGTCGTTTCTCGTGGAGTCTCTCTCTGGTTTCCAGCGACGAAGATGATGGCCGAGAAGCACCTGCACGAATTGCTCCGGGAAGACCAAGAGCCCTTCCATCTCCGGAGCTACGTCTCGAGCAGGCGCAAGAATTGCCTGCTCAGGAGCCCCAAGAAGCGACGACCCATCTCGCAAAACTCGAACTTTGGCCATAGTTTCTGCAGAAACCCGTGCTTTTTCGCCTCCTCCCCAGACCCGACAAAATCCCCGCTCTTCGATCCCCGGACCCGTGCCCCAACTGATAAAAATGCCATCTTTCTCCACGTCCCGGCCAAAACGGCCGCTCTGCTGCTCGAAGCGGCTCTCAGAATTCACAACCACAGCGAGAACGAGCGCGAGAGCAAGAACAAGAACAGCGGCGAGAGCAATCCTTCTTCTACGAAACCCGCTGGCGTTGGGATCTTCGGCTCGCTGCTGAGAAGGCTGTCGAAACAGCGGAAGTTCAGAGGACGAGCGGGGGAGGAAGCCGGCGATCATGGGTCGACGCTTTCGGTGAGGGACATTCTGAGGCCGAGAAGATCTTTCCGCACGAGCAAAGAAGACGACGAAGAGTTCGTGGGTTCATTCTTAGCAGCAAAAGAGGTCGCTTTTGTCGCCAAATCAAGGTTAGATGCAGAGCCTTCTTATAATTCATCATCAAGCGAAAGCGAAAGCGAAAGCGAAAGCGAGAGCCCCCGTCCATTTATGCTCCGAAAGAGCCCGCCGTCCGGTCGCCGCACTCCGGAATTCCAGTCGCCGGCGGCATCGCCTAGACCCCATGACCCGAAGGTTTGCGTTCCTTACGCACTGTCAAATTACTGTCATTTCATTAGCATCAATTATATTTATCTCAGCAGCTCGGTTCCTTTACCGTACGAGTTTTACAATTTGAGTCTGCCGGAGTTGACCCGTGACTCAGCTCGCGAGTGGCGACAAAGCATCCTAGGCGTTTGGACTTTTCTACGGAGCGAATCATAAAAAGAAATCGGGGAGTGTCGGCAGATGTTTTCCCGATCTCCCGCTCTGCGATTCCAGGACGAAACTGTGAATAGTCGATTTTTTCCCTGTTAAGCACGAAGCATTTGCTTTGGTAGTTCGAAAGTGGGAATAATTCTTGCTTGTGATTGGATAATCGTACTTTGGATCGTGCTTGGGCCATGCAAAAACGGTCATCGAAAGCCCCCGTTTTGTCCTAGAAAACTGTTTTCTTGAAAACGACAAGTTCGGCCTGTTTTTCCCTTCGAATTTCCTATTTTGCTCTCTGTCGGAATCCCATGTATACGTATTCGACACCCGCTTGCCATAATGGCATTAGGTTTAAGCTTTTCTTGATTTAGCGTTTTGTCCGCAAAAAAGGGTTAATTAGATAAGCATAATTAGAGGAGTAGTCAACATCCGATCCAACCACTACTTTAAATTTAGCAAGTTGCGATGCCAAATTTGTCTTCTCCATGTCTTTTGGGCACAAGGAATCGAACATCCATGTCTAGATCCATAAGGGTCGTCGTCCACTAGCTGAATAAACTGCATAGTCCCATGGATTCATTGACCCCATACAAATCCATCCCAACTTTTTTATATTGCTGTGCAATAACTGTCGAGCAATGACTATGTTTATAATCTTTTTTTCTTGCAACCGAAGGCGGACCTGATGTGAAGTTTTAGTTTTTTTTCATTACCAGTGTTTGTGATTAGATGCGAACGGAAAGCGACACAATCTAATGACAGTGTTTGTACAACCAGGACGAGGACAATCGCGAAGCAATGAGCTTGAAGAAATTCGAAGAGCGAGAAGCCGAGGGGGAGGAGGATGAAGAGGAAGAGAAGGAGCAGTGCAGTCCCGTGTCCGTGTTGGACCATCCGTTCGAGGATGACGATGACGAGCGCACCACCGAGGATTACGACGGTGACAAAGGTTACGCTTTCGACTACGAGAGCAGCTACGCCCTCGTGCAGAGTACGTACCCGAGCACTGTCGCTCTCTCTATCTCTCTCTCTCTCTCTCTCTCTCTCTCTCGCGGTACCATTCTAATAATCAGTACCATTAATCTTTTCAAGTTTTGTATGTTTTGCAAGTTAGTTGTGTGGTCACCATCCGTCAACCTCTTGGCGTGGTACGTACGAGCAAATTGGGTGTTCTTTTCTGGGTTTTTTGGGGTTCATCAGGTTGTCGCCTTGCGATGCATTGGCGGGTCATTTTCATACACGATCGAGTTGATGTTTGAGCGGTAGTATCTGGGGTGGGGTCCGCCGAGCGGATTGTTGTCTCTTCGAGAGCGTGAGTCTTTAGTCGTCGTCTTGTGTGGAGAGGCTTTCGGGGAGTACGTTTGCCTCAGGTCGCGTTTCGTGTCGAATTTGGACTCCTACGCACGCATGAATTGAGCCTGCCGCATGATCAATTTGACTTAGATCATCGTACGATTCATGAGCAAGAAAATTGAAGAACTATGAGTCTGTGTGTGTGTGTGTGAAACTGTGTCTTCACTGAGATTGAAATGCCTTGATAGTCATAAGAAGAAATGAGCTGATTTTTTCCGGAATTTTTCTGTGCAGAACTTCTAAAGTTGCATCCTTTAGAACATCGTTCATTTTTATCAGCATCATCTTTACATCCTAGCCTAGCCCACTTTCACACCAGACTTTTGCTTTCCTTTTAGTTCCAAAAGCCAAAGTTTACCAAGTTTCGTATTATTCGGTTTAAGAATAGTAACTGGCTCCGAATTTGAGCTGTATTTTTGAATTTTCCCCATGAAAAAGAATTTTGATCACTAGCCTTGAAAATCCTCAGATGATTCTGACATCCGTAGTCATAATCATTACTATGCTAGTACCACACGCTCTGATGGGTGGAAGAGCAAAATCTTTATTAATCGCTCCAGTTACTTTATATGGACATACAACCCTGCAATCATTTCTCTCGTCTCTTCAGAAACATATCCTTAAAGATGTGGAGTGGACCTCACCACATACTTGATGTTGGTGCTCTGCTTTAATTCTGATCTTCTGTCAGCGGCACATTAATATAGTGGAACCCATTTTACCAATTTTCACGGCCCTGTTTTTTAAACTGAAGTACTAAATAATAATAATATCTTTGGTGTGCATTGAGGTGGGTTTAGACTGCACAGGAAGATTTGAATTTAGAGATGGGCCTCAGGTGTGGTTGATTTGATTTACTCTTTACTCGAATCCTGTGCTGTACTCACAAATTGGAGGAATTTTGCAAAGTTGTAAGTCTTAAATGTAGAGGATCACTCATGTGTAGACCCTGAACTAGAAATCATGTCCAAAATCTTCCTAAACCCAGACAGTCAATTATATTTTAATCATGTGAAATTAACAAACTCATTAAATTTCAGGAACAAAGCAGCAGCTCCTGCAGAAGCTTTACAGATTCGAGAGGCTCGCGGAGCTAGACCCAGTTGAGCTGGAGAAGCGAATGCTGGAACAGATCAGCGATGAGGAAGATGGCCCAGAAGAGGTGATGTCTAAGGATCATGACGACGATATCGAACCTGTGAGTACAGAAAAAGGCGGCGACGGTTTCGCCAAACAATCCCTGACTAGGCCGAGCCTTTGTGCTCTGAGGAATGTGAGAGTCCCAAGTGAGATGAGGAGGCTAATCATCAATGAGGATGAGCAAGGGAAGCAGGTTTATGTGGTGGGGTCATGGAAGGGGGTGGATTTTAGTACCATTGATATGATGGTGGATCAAGACTTCATTAGAGATGAGGTTGATGGGTTGTGGAAGAGAAGCAATAACAAGGACCAGGTGGGGGACACTGCAGCGGAGATGGAGCTTGCTATTTTAGGGTCATTGGTACAAGAACTGACAGAGGAATTATCGTGTGGTTTTGGCAGCAACAAGTTCTAGGAAGGGTGGAAACTTTATTTGAAATGTTGAAGTCAATCCCACCCGCCTGATGAGTTCGAGTTGTGGTCGACATTCACTTGAAGAGGATTTGAAAACTGAAGCATTTGGTTGGGGGAGTGTAAGCTAACTCGCGCCTTTGGAGGGATGGAGACTAACACTGGAGATCATCTGAACACGAAAACAGAAGGAAACAAGAAAGAAAAGACAGACATTTAGTGAAATGAGAGGATCTTAAATTGTAGTAGTATGTGTACGTATGTACTTTTTTTGGGCCATCTATGTATATGTATATATGTATGAATAGTTAAGCAATGGAGAATGTGGTCTGATTGCTGAGAGGCATGACATGCAGCAATTCGGGTTCTTCTTTACATTCACATATATAATCCCTTTGGTTTTGGTACAGAACTAATCTTTGATATTTGGGCTTCTTTGATTGTTTCACACCCTGCACACAAATCAGAATGGCAACACTTCTCCAATCTATGAAACCGAACCTGTCAAGTATTTTCAAAGGTTCCCCCGCACAACTTGTCAATCACCAGACAAAAGCCTTCTCTTCAAGTGCAAACTGCTTTCACTGTGTGTTTACAACTGAGATTACAAGCTCAAAACTGAACTGTGATCGACAGTAAATAAGCCACAGTTGCAAAGAGCATTACTTGAAACCTCTCTCAAATTTCCAGTTCCTCAAGCTTTTCACGTCCGCCCGACATCATTGTTTTAGCATGAGCTTCAATTTACTTGTACACTTCCGTCGCTCGACGAAAAAATTATGGTCAAATTCTTCGTAAAACACATGCAGATCTTTACCTCAGTCTGGGATATCGATAAATGCTTTCATAGAAAGCAGGTTTGGGTCCCACAATATCATCAATCTCCAATGTGACTACCCGTGAATTTTGGCTAGTACAGTTTTGGGTTACTATTTTCAATGGCTGAAGACCTGGTCTTCAGCTTTGAAGTTGCAGCGTTCATGAAAGCCTTATATGTGTTAGTCCAGGTGGGCATTGTTGTCAGTTCGCTGCTTACTTTTTACGAATGTCATTACTTATCGTCTTTAACTTGCAAAAAGTGCAGACCGTAGTGCTTCTGCAACATTACTCAGCTTCTGCTCTTTCTGTTACTCGAAATAAGTTTAAAGCTTCTAAAATCGCTTAAATGATCACGATAAATATATGGTCAAGATCTGTCATCATCCTCACAAAGATGATTTTTGTAAAATCAACATCAGGTTTTCGCAGAATTCTAGTGATCCGTGGCAAAACGTACCGACTTTTTCGTGCAGTAAATTTCAAAGTATTTTGATGAGTGTCAAACCATTGTTGGCAAGCAAATTGACAGATAAATTTTTCCTTCAGGTAACTTGTTTAAGTTACTACTTCCACTTTTTATGAAATTTTCTAATTTTATAACTTGCAACAGTACCAAAAACTTGTCACCCTTTATTTGCATAACATATGAATGATTCAAATTTACTAACTCTTATCCGAAATTACTTACCAACATAGTTTAGAGCGATTTACCAACTTTTGTTAAAATAAACTTGTTTCGCTGGAATTTGCATCAACAATGAAAAACCTTTCATTGAAAGTCGTTCTTCAGTTTTTTTTTATTAAAGGAGATAGATCTGTGGCGACTTCGGACATGAAATATCACAGGTGCGCAAAAAATTCGATAAACATACAAGATTTAGTCGACGTTAAAGTACACAAGATAGAAATATAACGTCGAAATTTAATCGCTTAAATGATCTTGATAGATATATGGTCAAGATCTGTCATCATCCTCACGAAGATGATTTTCCTAAAATCAAGATCAGGTTTTCGCAGAATTCTAGTGATCCGTGGTAAAACGTACCGATTTTTTCATGCTGTAAATTTCAAAGTATTTTGCTAAGTGTCAAACGATTGTTGGCAAGCAAAATGACCGGTAAAATTTTTCTTCAGGTAACTTGTTTAAGTTACTACTGCCACTTTTTGTGAAAGTTTCTAATTTTCTAATTTGCAAGAGTACCAACTATGTATAAACTTGTCACCATTTATTTGCATAACATATGAACGATTTAAATTTACTAACTCTTATCCGAAATTACTTACCAACTTAGTTTAGAGCAATTTACCAACTTTTGTTAGAATGAATTTGTTTCGCCAGAATTTGCCTCAACAATGAAAAACCTTTTCATCGAAAGTCGTTCTTCCATTTTTTTTATTAAAGGAGACAGATCTGTGGCGACTCCGGAGTTGAAATATCACAGATGCACAAGAAATTCGATAAATATGCAAGATTTAGTCGACGTTAAAGTACACAAGATAGAAATATAATGTCGAAATTTAATCGCTTAAATGATCTCGATAGATATATGGTCAAGATCTGTCATCATCATCATGAAGATGATTTTTCTAAAATCAAGATCAGGTTTTCGCAGAATCCTAGTGATCCTTGGTAAAACGTACCGATTTTTTCGTGCTGCAAATTTCAAATTATTTTGATAAGTGTCAAATGATTGTTGGCAGCAAAATGACTGACAAATTTTTTCTTCAGGTAACTTGTTTAAGTTACTACTTCCACTTTTTGTGAAGTTTCTAATTTTATAATTTGCGAGAGTACCAATTATGTATAAACTTGTCACCCTTTATTTGCACAACATACGAACAATTTAAATTTACTAACTTTTATCCGAAATTACTTGCCAACTTAGTTTAGAGTGATTTACCAACTTTTGTTAGAATGATTTTGTTTTGCCAAAGTTTGCCTCAACAATGAAAAACCTTTCATCGAAAGTCATTCTTCAGTTTTTTATTAAAGGAGACAGATTCGTGGCGACTCCAGATATGAAATATCACGGGTGCACAAGAAATTCGATAAATATACGAGATTTAGTCGATGTTAAAGTACACAAGATAGAGATATAACGTCGAAATTTAATTGACAACGAAGCATCCGGAAACTATAGTAAAGTTACACGTTGTAATTTAACTAATGGCGAGATATCTGGAAACTACAGCTAAAACTATGACATGAGAATTGTAAGATAACATATATATATTTTATTAATTAGGATCTTCTACCGTATATAAGCACTAGTATTTATAGCGTTCACCACATACTTGTTATAAGTAGTTCTTTAGCAGTTTTAGCCATGCCTTAACATCTCTGGAGCTTTAGTTTTCATATCTTCATGTTGGATACTAAAGTCAAATTAATAACTTCCTTATTCTATATGCTGTTACAAAATGTTACAACAACACTTATTCACAAAAAGCTCAAATATTTGAAAATATCGCTACTAGGCAGTTAAACGTCAAGGTCGATGTCGATGACTTTTTCAAGATAACTAACGTATGTTTTTTATACTTCCTTGGTTGTCGACGCTATTCAAGTTACTGACATTTTTCTATAAGAACTTAAATATTCGAAAATATCGATACTCATCAAATGTCGACTATTCTTTTCATCGACGACTTCTGCTGTTTACCAAACTCTATTTTCATCAATTAAGTATCACTTATCCATAATAAATAAAATTTGGTCATTTTTTGGTATAAACAAAATTACCAACTTGTTTTGAGTTATTAACTCCAATTGGAGTTATTTACCAAGTTTATATATCTTCAATTACCGACATTTCTTTTCTTTTACTAACTTTTAGTTTAGGGAGAATTGCAAATTGGATCTTAAACTTATTGTACAGTTCAAATTAAGTACTAAACTTTTCAGCTGAACTAGTGCAGTTCTAAACCTTTGAGTAAAAAAACATTCTACTTTTATTGACTGAGACTGGCCTGAAATTTTTGACGTGGCGATCTATTCATGACTAACCGTGCTACATGTAACGGCGACGGTGTGACTAAAATGCCATGTCGAATTTTCTGTTTTTTTTTTTCATTTTCTTTCTTTTTTTTCTCTTCTTTCGTTTTTTTGTGTGTTTACACCTGTCTTTTCTCTTCCCTGCTGCTTGATAATGAAGACGGCCCGAGAGCTCGACGGCCGGGGGCTGAGCATCTAGATCTCAATGAGCTCGGCCACTCCTCCTCCATGGCCGTCGAGCTTGTGGCCATCGAGATCTCGGTGAACTCGAGGGCCATGGGCCGAGCCTCCACATCTGGAAGTTGTGCCGTCAAGCCTAAATCCGGATGGTTGGCGGGCCGTCTATCCCAGGTCTGGCTCGTTTATTGTGGAGGTTGGCGGAGGGGTTTTCTGCGGCGGCGATTTTGGATTCTGCAACTAGATCCGATTTCACAGAGAGAGAGAGAGAGAGAGAGAGAGAGAGAGAGAGAGAGAGAGAGAGAGAGAGAGAGAGAGAGAGAGAGAGAATGGTTTTAGTTAGAGAAAGTGGCTAAGGAGGTTGCTTTGTCTTCCCCCATCGCTGCTCGACGATCAAGAAGAGGCCCTCATCCGTCACGTCCTCCACACTCCAGCTCACACGAAGCAGTTGAAAATCCTATGCTCTTTGCAAGAAATAGAGAAAAGAAAGATGAAGATGAACAATAACCAGAAAAGGAAGGACACAAAGAACAAAGAAAAACGGCAGCATTTTGAGTAATTTTGTTCACGTTGGATTGCCGAACGTGGCACGTCGGACGACTATCCTACATGTCACGGCTGCACAGCCCTGATTGTGACTGGATCGCCTAGTTAGAAATTCCACGCGAGGCTTGGCCGGAAAATTTGATTGCATCTTAACTTAAAGTTTTAGGATCATATTGGTTCAGTTTAAAACTGAATTTGAATATATACGGGTTTAGGACTAAATTTGCAGTTTTTCCCTTTTACTTACATTTCCAACCGTGCCTTAAATTTATCAATTCTTATATGGAATTAATAACTTCAGTTTAACTGATTTGTCAACTTTTTCCAAATAAGTTACAGATTTATTTTGAGTTTTCACGCTACTTGTAAACCATCAAAAAAGAGTTTTAGTAAGTTTATAAAAGTATCAGTAAATTACTATTATCGAGAATCAGCTAAACGGTAGTTATTTTTATCAACAGGTTTTTTACACTTATCAACTTCTTTTAGAGATCACCAAGACAGGAAAAAAAGGGTTAATACCACGAAAAACCCAAAACTGGTATACCTGTGACAATTTTATCCTCCGTTAGTTTCCATTAAATTTTACCGTCGAATTTCTGAGTTGGATGACACGTGACAGTTGACGAGTATACCAGTTTGGGGTTTTACCCTTCGTTTGTCACATGTATACCAGTTTGTGATATTTCATGGTATTAATTCAATTTAACGGAGGGTAAATATGTCACAAATGTACTAGTTTAGGGTTTTTGGTAGTCAAAAAATTAGTTTTGGATAAATTTATTATATGTATACCAGTTTAGAGTTTTGTGGTACCAAGAGTTTTCTCTGTCAAGACAATGACTCACTTCTCGAATTTTTGAGGTTCTGTTTTTTCCTTATCAATGGCCTACCTCCTTCATATGATCTATTTTCTTAGCCCAGGAAAGCTCAGATCTCCATTTTAATTTTTATATGTGATGTTGGTGATTTACTAATGATGGAGGAAATCGCAGAAGAACGATGCTCATTGGATTGACTCTCTTGGCAAAAATGAAAGCTACACTTGACATGCCACTTGCAATTTGCGTCGGCGTTGAAGATTTGTACATTTCAAGTCGAAATCTTTCTATGACAAAAAAAAAAGAAGTCAAAATCTTTCAATTCTCACGCTGTTGATAACCGATTTTCATTGCGATGATACCATACTGACAAAATTCGATGGGAAAAGATTGGGTCCGAAGCGAGCAATATCTCAACTCTGAAATATACCGAAATTACTTAATATCAATAAACCCGTGGAAAATCCCCCGTCAAACTTTTCCGGGTCTAAATTGTCATGTCCTTGTAAGTTTGTAACAATCCATGGCCCAAGACTTTGTTTAAATGCCACAGAGAGAAATGTGCAAACGAGAGTGTATTCATCAATGAGACTGCTAATGGGATTAGGGCCAATGAATTTGCTTAAGCAAACAATGCGCACATGTCATGCTATTAGATTTAAGCTAATGATGCGCCACAGTTTCATAATAAAACTTTCAAACGCTAACTTCAAAGCTTCGATTATTAATCCCTTGACTAACTTCGAGACTAAGTTCTGTGCCTTCCTTTTCGCACACCTAAAGATCGTACCACTACATTATGTTTCCACTCTAAGTAAACCCTAAATATAATGGTTGCTTGAGGCTTACATAAGATTGATGCCAAAAGCTCTTATATCCCACTCACAACCTTTGCCAATGTAAAGGAGAAAGTAACATCAATAACAATTACATAATACCCATATATGTATGTATCATTGCACGACATAGAGGGTTAGAGACACAACATACATATTTATACCACAAAGTGTTCAATAATAGCAATTAAGGAACTTATATTTACATTGCGATATCTTCCCAATTTCCCACAACATTTCAAGATATAAAGAAATTAAGTTACTAAAAAGAGCCACTCCCAACAACGAACGAAGAAACGTTTATAGACAAGTGATACAGAGAGGTCTGCCAAGAGCTTCTCCTGCATTCAACTTTTCGATAGAGGAATAGCCATTCCACTTCTATTATTCTTATCGTTACGAGGTTTAAGTTATATTTTTTTTTATATGGAGATAAGTAATTGGTTTTTCTTCATTATTCATATGTTTCCCGTGGAAGAATTAGTATCCACAAGCAATACCGATAGCATGACATGTGCGCATTGTTAGCTTAAGTAATTTTTTTTAGTTTCATAATTTGCACGACGTGTCACCCTATCAATATCACTCCTGGACAGACCAAATTTTCCATGGAAAAGCATAGATAATGAAGTAAAATTTTTTTGGATATAACTTAAGGGAACCTCCACAGGTTGTGAGATCCGCCGCCATCGGAGCTGCCGTCGTCCCCGGAAACATCCAAATGAGGAGGGCTAAGAAGCATCCCCTCCGCCATGTTGGCGATAACATTAGGCATGTTAAATATCATCTCCTCGTCAACAAAACCATCATCATCAACAGCCACAGAATCATCCCCTTCCACGAACACACGATAATTCCCACTCCTCTCGCCCGCTCTGCTCCAAAGCAAACCATCCCCAGCCGCCCCAGCTGCGGCAGCGGCACTGGCGGCGGCAGCCTGGATGTCACGGGATGAGGTGGAGGCAGGGACTGGCAGCGAAGCCGCGCAGTTCGGGAAGTTCAGCTCGGCCTCTTGACCCTTGAGCGCTAGGGCCGCGACGTCATAGGCAATCGCTGCCATCTCGGGAGTTGGGAAGGTCCCGAGCCATATCCTGGTGGGCTTCTTGGGCTCGCGAATCTCTGAAACCCATTTCCCGCTGCTGCGGCAGCGCACTCCTTTGTAAGGCGGGCGGTGGCCCGAGGAGGTGGAGGCATTCCTGGAGCGTGAAGAGCTCATTGAGGTTATTGTGAGTTGGAAAATGTGAAGGTAGAGATACGAGCTGCCGGAGGGCGAGAGGGATGCGGTGGCCGACAACGGGAGGAGCCATTTTAATGGTGGATGGGTCGTGGGAGTGAAAGTTTGAGCAGAGCGAGGAGATGCAAACCAGTTGTGGATGAACTGCAATCTGAAGAAAGCGGGGTTGTAAGCCAGAATGCTATGTTGGAGGTCCGGGTTGTAATGCCCTTTTTAGCACCAAAACCCGAATTTCAATGTTATTTGGCTTGATGGAGACACTTAGCCATCTTCTCAACTAAACCGAATTTTCAGGGCCAGAGAGATAAAGGTAGGACTGTAGCTTTAGCTAAGAAAAGCGAGATCGCTCTCCCACTTGGCGAGATCGCTCTTCCACTTAGCGAGAAAGCCGTTGTACCCGACATGGAACAAAAAAGATTCACGGCACTGAAAGAAACGCAAATGATCAGATGCAAGGCCTCATTCATTGAGTCTAGTAAGATGAGCAAATAAATTATTACTACTAACATGCTCTTTTGGTGTCTCCCGATAAATTTTAATGAATTTTTAATGATTTCGAGACCCACATCCCGTCTTATTACGAGCTGATCTATGTAAGGGTCGCTCTCTATGCTGATTTCTTTCGACAATGATAGAGAATGCATTTTGATTAGATAAAAACTTGGGTCCAGCTAAATAGGAGTCACGGGACACTTTCTATGAAGCCAAAATTGTAAATGGAGGTGAAATTTGTTAGTTCTGACTCCAGGCAAGTGACTTGATGAACTCATAAAATAAGTCAAGCGGATGTATGAGCCAAATATTGTTCTCTATATCATGTGCATACATTCAGTAAATATTTCCACAAACTGATGATATCTATGAGAGGGCCGGGTTTCATCCCCTATTGGAGGAAATATCCTGTACCTTGACTTTTGATTGCTACTTACATGCCTTTAGCATGACAAAATACCGGAAAAGATGAATTATAACAATAAAAACCTAACCCTAGCTAAGCCTATCGCATCAGTCCACAATCACATCTGCTCTTTCCTCTCTCTTCTCTTCTGCACAACGTCGCTTGCCTTTCACCCCCGCCGCGTCATCAGCAGCACCCTCCCCCCTCCCTCCTCCGCCGTGATCTCAGTCAACTGCTGAATCTGAAGGTGACCTCAGATCATCGGTCCATAACCTTAGGTAACCTCCAGTCTAGGATTGGCTGAGGTCGTACGCGGTTACAACCTCCGATCGAACTTTTTTGGTTGAGTCAATCTTCCCGATGTAAATTATCTAAGATTCATTTTCACACAAGTTATCTTCATCGCCGTGGATATGAGCAGTTATAATCTTGTAAATTTGCAAATTTTAGACGTGTCTTGTGGAAAAAGATCTACACAGCCTATGTACCATACCGAAGTTCTGTCTATACCCATCGCATATGCTTGTTTGTCAAGTGGTATGCGTTTCAGAAAGCAAGTCCCCGACTCGATCAAGCATTTCGAGGGCCAGAAGAAAGTAATCTTCTACAAATCTCCCAATCTCGAAGTGAAAGTTCTGCATTTGATCGAATTAGGGAAGTAGACATCTAGTTCGATGTATGGGAATGCTGGACCACCTTGCCACTATAAAGACAAAAATAAATGAAAAGATAAATGTTTCGCCGGTGCTGGTAGGTGTGGCAACCACCACTAGAGTTGAATGGAGTCACGTTGGAAAGAGACAGGAAGAGATCAAGAAGACATGAATGAAAGCTGAGGTTTCATCACACGGTTTAGGGATCAAGTGTCAAGCACAACATTTGCTGATGGAGAAAGCCGAATAACTGTCTTTTATGTTTTCGATGGGGTAATAGATGCAACTATAGACTATGAGTGGATGATTGAATGGTCCGGAAACTTGGATTGAGAAGGAACTGTTTTCTAAATTCTAGCTAAAGAACACAAGCAGAATCGTGAAAATATAAAAGAAGAAAAGGCAAAAGTCACCAAAAATCCTAAACCATGCATATTGTGACACATTTATCATAAACTTTTTTCCGTGACTCAAAAAATCCCAAACTTATACTTATGTAACACATTTATCCTCCGTCAAAATTCTGTCAATGATAACCGTTAAAAATCTATCTACATGGATGTCAAAAAGCAAATAGTGTTAAGATGGCGCCCACGCGGTTTAAGTGAAATAAAAACAACTTTGTTTTGATTGAAAAATTATCTAACAGAACCTCGACAGAGGGTAAATGTGTTACATAGATACAAATTTGGGGTTTTTTATGTTACAAAAAAAAAGTTTAGGGTAAATGTGTCACAGTGGGTATAGTTTGAGATTTTTGATTTTACAAAAAAGTTTAGGATAAATGTGTCATTGTGGAGATAGTTTGAATTGGAGAGAGAGAACTTTAAAGATGTGAATTAGTATGGGAGATGGTTGCTTGATGAGAGAGACTTAAATTCAATTTCGGAAAAAAAAAATTAAGATTTAGATGAAATTACTTACACGATAACTAGTTTTTCTATTTAAATTGCTATCTTATTCATTTCTGTATCACAATTTTATAACACATCTTAACAAAAGACAAACATTTTTACAGAATTTTCGAGTAAAAGTTTGAAGCTGATATCATATATTGAATTTGATTGATATATAGTAGAGATGATACAACGAACAATTAGATAGACCTTCTTTTCAACCATAAAAATTAAATATCACGTGACAAATTCGCTTGTTGCCTTATATTCACCAAGTTAAACCCTAGAGCATCGTCAATTAGCTCTAGCAACAATTTAAGCACTAACGAAAAATCAATGTACTTTGAAAATCCTTCGTGTAGCTCCAGCAAACTAGTGTAGGTCCTCGCCTGCCGTTGGCGAGGATCGCCGGCCCTTGCGAGCAATGGTGGGGCGGCAACGGCGAGGGATTTCTCAACCATTTTTTTAAAAATTAGCTTATTTTTATATTTAATTAAATAAAATTTGTATTAAAAATCAAATTTAGCCACGTCATTTCCAGGTAGGAGAAAGAAAATATTTAAAAAAGCTACATCAGCATTTTCAGTTAGCCAAATTTGACGAAGTTAATGGAAGGACTTGATTGCACCAATTTGATAAGTTTTAAGACTTAATTGCACTTTTTGTAAGTTTTAAGACTCAATTGTACCTTTGTGACAAATTTTAGGACTTCTAGTGCAGTTATCCATTTTTTAATGGGTTAAAGTTTGTTGATTAGTTAGGGTTGTCTTACATTTATATGTGAAATTTCGTTAAGGAAAAAATATTCATAAAAAATGGTTAACACCACGAAAAAGCTCAAACTGGTACATTTGTAACAAATTTATCTTCCGTTAGTTTTCATTAAATTTTACAATTGATTTGCTTAGTTAGATGACTTGTGGCAGTTGACGGGTGTATGGTATGGGATTAGATTCTCCATTTGTCACAGATGTACCAGTTTGTGATTTTTCGTGGTATTAATCCAATTTAATATAAACTAACGGAGGGTAAATTTATCACAAATGTACCAGCTTGGGGTTTTTGGTAGTTAAAAAATTAGTTTGGGGTAAATTTGTTACGGCGTACAAGTTTAGAATTTTTCATGGTATTAACCCCATAAAAATTAAGTAAATGTATATTTCCATAAAAATATATTTTATACAGGGTGCTATTTACCTTGGAAACTACCCAACTATGCTAGTTTTGCGGGTTCACATGTTCTCCTGGACGCCCTTATTATCTAGGAGGAGGTAAAATCAAGGGAAGAGTGGCTGGACGACGAAGATTCTATTTTGGGCAAAAGATTATGAAGATTTTTTTATATATAAATAATGCGAAGAATTTTAATTATAACAATGTGTTTGTGATTTCAACCATAAATTATGGGATTTGACCCCACAAATATGAACTTACGAGAGATTGAAGAATCCAAATCATGGATTACGTCCAAGGTAATTTAATTTTTTTTCAGTATCATAGACAATTTTCTTCTATTAATTATTTTTCAAATAAAGAAAGTTAGAAATCTTATACTAAAATACATCTGTTAAGTATTATTTTGTCAGTTTCATAGACTAATATATTTAAGGAACAAAGTGCATTATAGCCCTAAAAATTCCCTCTTTATCTCTAACCATAGTTGTCAAATTGGGACACCGAATCGTGAATTCAAGAATAGGCAAATCGAGAATCGAATCGTAAAATGAGGTGAAACAATTCCAATAAACTTTTCCGTAGATAGACGCATAGCAGACAAAGATATAAAATAACAAGTTTTGAATTCACGGTCAAAGGAAGGGATAACTTGTCTTCGTGTACATGTTAAGCATTTCCTAAAGCCCGCGAAAAATAAAGGTACGTAGGAAGTTTGTGTGATATTATTTATGGTTGGTTTATAATCGTGAAACTATAATAGATAAAATATACATCATGAAGTAGGATGAAACCAATTGTATTTGATATAGGTAAGGCATAAACAATTAGGAATCAATCAAATTATTGAGGGAGAATTATCAAAGAAGTCCTAAACCTATTGCATTGTGCCAATCAAATTTTTGGTAATTTTCCCATCAAATTGATAGAGACATGTCAAACCGAGAGATTCAGTCGCGAATTTATATATTCTCGTATATCATTTAGATCTCAAACCGAATAGAATCTTATCGCAGGATATTAACAACTCCAAATTCGTGTGCATCAAAAAGGGAAAGAGTCACTCTTTCCATTGTATTGATAATAGAAATAAGATACGGTGGAGCTTCTATAGGCATGCATGAAGAAAGAAATGCGCGGTTGCCATATCACGAACTCCCCCACCACACGCACGCATATAAATAAGCACTGAAGAGAAGGCAAGAGCGTCGTGTGCTGTGTGTCCCTCCCCTAGAATTCGTGTTTTTCGCTCCCGTTTCGAGAGGCCAATGGACAGAAAACCTCTGCCTCCCTGGGGCCCTCACGAAAGGTACCACAAGAGACCATACTATGTCTTCAATGGCGAGACCGGCAAAGAAGAGAGACTGACCCTGGAAGAATTCAGGGCGAGGCCTGAGGAGCACTTAGAACCCGACTACCAGTATCCTTATAGTACTTACATGAGCTATGACGGCGAGAACGACACTCTCGTCACCCGTCCGGCACGGGCCCCGCCGCCAATGCGAGCGCTCACAAGAGCTCGGCATCGAAGCAGAGTTCGACATCCAAGGGAAGCTCCACATCGAAGCAGGGCTCGACATCAAAGGGGAAGAGCCAGGACAAAGGTCTCTCTCTCTCTCTCT